TGTGAAACTCCCTCCAGCGTTTCTGTTGGTTATGCAACGGTTATAAGGTTGGAATCGACAGCAGGACCCAAAAGTCTGAAGACTGACTGTGTATCAACTGGTTTCTGGTCATTTTATTAAAAATATCACAAAATCATGTGAGAATCTTCAGACTTCAATCAATGCAACAACATTAAAGTACATTATTTGTATTCTACTTCTCATAAGTACACTAAATTACCACTGCAGGTATTTGCACTATACTATACTAGTACTCTACAATACAACCTTAAGCACTGCAGAATAAGTATATATTTTTTTTTAGTACACTTAACTTAATTCTAAAGAACATTTTAAATATACTTTAAATTAAGCACAAAAAGTAAAAATATTTTTGTAATAACTTTATATACTTGTATATTTCTGAGGACTGCTAATCTGGTAAATAAAATAACATTTAAGTAACAGGGGACCCAGTATAGATCCTTGTGGGACACCTTTTTCTGCCTAATTTGAAACCAATGACGACGGCTGTTTTCCCACAATGCACCCAATGTTTGAGATAAAACCTGCAGTGGCTTCGGTTACGGATTTGAGAAAACTGAAATGTTTCTGTGAAGTATTTTAATCAACACAGTTAAAGTACATCAGTAGACGTTATTGTCAACAGCAGTTTTATGTGTGTTTTACAGTATCTGTGCCTTTCTACCTCGTTTTCATTAACTTTAGAGGTTATTTGGAGTGATCTGTTGAGAGCTGGCAGCAGGGATCTGGTTTTCGGGTATCTGGATTCAGGTTTAGATGCCCCGGGGTCGAGGTTGTTGTTTCACGTCTGTGTCGTCTCACTCTGACGCTCTGGTGACATTGCCGGTTTGACCTCTGACACCTTTAAGGTGGGCTGTTGGTGCTCTTTAGGGTCCAACTGTGTGAGAGAAGCCAGGCGTTACCATGGTAACAGGCTGTTGGACAGCTGCTGTGATTGGTCAGTAGAGTACTAGTACTAGTGGTACTAGAACCGACTCTCTCGTACTACAACCTTCTTTTTCTTTGCTGTTTATTGATTCCATTTACTTAATATTAATGAAGCAATATTTAAATATTAAGTAAATAACAGAGGACCCAGTATGGATCCTTGTAAGACACCTTTTTCTACTTAATTTGAAACCACTGATGACAGCTGTTTTCCCACAATGCACCCTGTGTTTGAGATAAAACCTGGGGGCAGTGGCTTCCGTTAAGTGTTTTTATACACTGAATTTGATTATTTTTACTACTTTTATTCCCCTTTTACTGTCTTCTCATCCTATCATTTTATACTGCCTTCTGCTTTTAACATTTTACTGTGTGTAGAAGTATATTTTATATGTGAGACTGGCTTTTATTTGACTATTAAAGCTCCTTTTCCTGATTATTTAAATATTATTAATCAAGCTGGACCCATCTGATCATTAATCAGTGCGCAGATGTTCCAGTTTTCACACATAATTTGGGTGTTTTTGTAGCTGGAGTGAAGCTCTGACCCACTGCGCCTCCTCTCATGCTACAAATCTGCCGTCAAGAAATTAGTTTAACATGTAACCCGCTTCCCCCCTTTCTTTCTTCTCCCATCTCTCCCCCTCCTCCCCTCTTCCTCTCCTCAGTCACTTAGTCGCCTAATAACAGAGCGCTCCGATCAGCAGGACGCCAACCAACCGTTTGATCACTTTCACAGCAAGGAGAGGGAGAAAAAAACCTAACGGAGAGAGCGATAAATACTTGATTAAATATATAAAGAATCCCCCTCCTCTCCTCTCACCTCTGAATTATCTCCCTCTCCTCCTTTTCTGATTTATAAAAAACATCAGACGGCAGGAGAAAACGACGGCCTCTTCGCAGAGAAAAAAAGGGAAAGAGAGAAAAATCAATACAAATTACGATGGAGAAAGTGGCACTGATGCCTGGAATTGCAGCATATGTTTACACTAAATCAGGCAATCTGTCTTCATATGGGCGGTGTAATGCGTGGGGGGGCGGCAGTGGAGGGAAGGGGGGTCAGGGTTCGCCCTGCCAGCCGCCGCTCTCCAATTACTCGGGCTCTTTGCAGGGAGGCAGCCGGTATCGATTGGCTGGGAGGAGCGCAGGGCCCTGCAGGCAGCCAATGGGGCGCTGGGGTCAAAGTGCGGCGAGATTTTAATAAGGGGATGTAATGGGCTTAATTTCTACTGGGGGAGGAGGGGGTCGACTCTCAGCCGCCTGTCCAGAGGTTCATTAAAAGCCTTTGTTTCTTTCTCCTCCTCCTCCGACAACGACAGTGATGATGAGGATGAACAGAGGGAAAGCCTTACTCATGTGCGAAGGAAAAGGTTGTTTTTTTATTCAGACGGTTGTCGGTTCGAGTCCCAGTGGGATGCAGGAGCAAATTAACCACAGAACGTCATTTAGAGGAGTTAATCAAACAGCCTCCATGCTGCATCAGTAAGAGCTTCATATACAGACACATGAACTCATTCTGCCCAGGGATTTATTGATTCGGATTGTATGAAGTATGAACATTTGCATCTGTAGAGCAGTCGGTCCCAACCTGGGGGTGAGGACCCCGACTGGGGGGTCGTGAAAGCTGCGAAGAGGGTTCGCAATGCCTTCTTGATTTTAAAAGGTGTAGGTCATTATATTCTGCTATCATTGAATATAATATGAAATACCTATAAAATCAACAGAGGACTGAGGTTGGGAACCACTGCTGTAGAGTATCTGTGATATTCATAAATATTCCCGAACCAAATTTTCATTTGTTAAAACATTGAGTCCATATTAGATTATTCTGCATGCAGGACCAGCATTTAATGGGACATAAGACCGGTTAATTAGCATTTTGAGACAATCAGTCACCTGCAGCAGCCTCAGTGCGTCTGCTGAACGATGTCAGCGCTCCTCTTTGTGAGTTTGGGAAGGTGGTGAAAGAGTTGGATTCAAGCTCTGTACTTTAACTCATCCTGCTGTAAACCAACTGTCCAACTGAAGTTTACAACGTTTTCCTCTAACCTCCATCAACCCTCTGGTTATTTACCACAACCAGCACCCTTACTTCTTACTGCAGACCCCAAACTCCTGCTGGGTCTAGTACACACAGTAAAAGTAATAGATTACATGTAACTGAGTGTGTAAACAGCTGAACCAGAAGCAGAGGATGAACCCATGAGCAAGGCATCAGCAGCCGATCAGAGTCTTCTGATGCAGATGAAGAGTTAAACATCTCTCTCTCTCTCTCTCTGTCTCTCTCTCTCTCTCTCTCTCTGAGTGTAAATGGATTTTTTTATTCAATTGCAGCATTTCCCATAGTGCCTTTCACTTGTTTTATAAGTTGGGTTGTATGTTCGCGGCGTCGGGAGGCAATCCGGTTTGAGACTCGGCGCTGATTGCTGCTCGTGTCGTCCTGATGCATTATCTCCATTCATCCTCGGCTGCTCCGCATCCCCCCAAAAAGTCTCTTTGGGATCCGACAATGAATCCCTCTTTCATTGGCGGCGGGGCGGAGGTAATAGATTCGGGCCGCTCTCTTGCTTCCTCTCGGGGAGGCGGGGGGGGAGGCAAGAAATCCAACATGGCAGCCCCCGCGGCGAGGGCCACGTCCCTCAGCGCTCTGTCACCCTTCAGATATCATCCCCACACCAGTCGCAGCCTGAAAGCCCTTTTTCTCCTCCGCCGCCGCTTGAAACGCGCTCCGACAAATTTGATTTAGCAGCTCGCGGTCGCCCATTCCCGGAGAAAGAAAACAAATATTGTTATAATGGTAATAACATCTATTTGGAGCGCCGGCGACAAACGGCGGCGGGGCCCTTTGAAGGAGACCCCTCTGCGCTGCCGTATAGCTGCCTTATTCTTATTCATGAAAGCCGCGGTTATGCATATTAGCGCAAACTAGCTATTCTACTCACCGGCATTTGGTGTGTCAATCATCCTTACAGAATACAAGAGCCAACAGTGACAAAAGCAGAGTGGGCAAGATCGGCTGACAAATTGTCCCCAAAGTCAAATTTGACAGCCTTTTATGATTAATGGGCTTGATTATGGAGAAGTATCTCCCCGAACTCATTTCCGGGTGTTTCTCCAGCAGCAGGAGGAGGAGGAGGAGGAGGAGGAGGAAGGCAGATTGTTTGGTGAATGAGCGGAGGAAAAGAGAAAAGAAAAAGGGAGGGAAGGTTGGATTGAATTAGCGGTGAAAAGGCAGAGCGAGGGGGACAGATGGAGTGTGAGGTCTCACACTTAATAAACAGCAGGAAGATAAGAGAGAGAGAGCTCAACTGACACTGCTCTCTCTCTCTCTCTGTTAGCGTTCACTGTTAATGAGAACCAACAGACTGAAGCTGAAGATCACAGAGAGGTCGGCACAGAAACACGCTTCTGGTTGAACCTCAAAATACTCAGTTAACCTTAAATTCATCACATTCTTATTATTTCTGCCCTTTAATCTGTTTAATATCTGATATATTTCCCCACATATAAGAGCTATGTTCTATATATAGCTGATTCAATCAATAATCAATAATCAGAAGCTGTCATACATTGACTGTTTACCATCCACTGTTTAGATCTTGGTGCTTTTTAACCTCTAAGATTTGAAACCGATGAAGGATTTAGTCATCGGACGTCTGGATCTTAAGTTATCAGAGAAACAAAGCTGAGCTACGTTAGCAGCAGCTCGGATCAGTCTGTTAGCATCATAACGTGGGACCTGTTAGCTTAGCATCAGGCTATTAGCATGTAACTCCCATGATCCCACGCTACTTTACAATGTCATCAAATATCCTCTTTTTTTATTGTTTTGATGTGGCAGAAATTACATATCATATGTTTAGAGTAAAAATTAAGTAATTGTGAGGATTCCTTTAGAAATTAACTGATTTTAATTAAAACCCTCTCAGCTCTTTGTATCTGTGGCATCAGTGTGTTTCTGTGACGTCTGTGTGTTCGTCTGTGTGTTCGTCTGTGTGTCGGTTTGAATTTGTCCTGACCGTCGCTCTCTCTCTCTGTCCGTCCTGCAGCCTTGAACGAGCCGACCATCGACTACGGCTTCCAGAGGCTACAGAAGGTCATCCCTCGCCACCCCGGAGACCCCGAGAGGTTACCTAAGGTCAGTGGAGACGAGTCATTAAGTCACTGCTTTAGACTCAGGTCAGAGGTCAGATTCAAGGCCAGGTCTCTGTTTTGTCAGTGAGAGCTGCTGCTAATCGGGCTGTGTTAGTGTTTAATCGGGTTTTACAGCCACATTAAAGCCTGATTTAAAGCTGAAGTGGCGGTTTGTCCCTCTGTGGATGCCGTAGACCACCTGCACTGCATGAGGTTCTTGTATTATTTAATGCAGCACAGGACCAAGTTGCCTGATTGGATTTGTTGGTTCTGCTCGGTACACTCTTGGCAGCGCCGGCAACTCCTTGCTGCCAGCGGGCTGATTGTTCCCGATCCCTCAAACAGGAAACAGCTGTTTCGGGGAGCAAATCCTGCCACTGCTGCTGCTCTCGCTGCGTTCTGTTTCCCCTCCGCTGGCGAGGAGGGAGGTTTGGGCGGCGGGAGGTCGCTGGCTGAGACGCAGTGAGGAGAGTCGTGACGTTAGAATATAACCTGATAAAAATGGAGTCAGGTGCAGGTGAAGAGAGGTGATTGGACGTCACTTATCCCAGTAAATGTTTGTTTTTGTGGCACTTTTTTGACATTTAACCAATACTCCTTATTGATTATGTAAATATCAGAATAATAGTGTCTTCCATCTTCCAGGTGAACGAGGTTTAAGGCCTTTTTTAAACACGTAATTTGACCATATTGATCCATAAATGAGTCCTAAAGTTTGTCCAAACTTGAATTACTAATTTTATTTGTCATTTTAATTTCTTTAATTTGATAAAATTATTATAATAAGATCACACATCACAGCATGATTCCACTGAAAGTCAACACAAAATGAATATTTTATAATATATAGTTCATAGTACACTGAATGAATTGAAGTGGCAGCAGAAATACCATCTCATTCTTATTCCCGATGTTCTGTCACACACTTTAGCGTCTGTTAGAGAAGCAGTGGGCTGTTATATAACTCCAGTGTTACCCATCTGTCAGGTGACGTAGTGTAAAGAGCGAGAAAGTTTATGAAAGGAGGTGGTGGATGGATAAGTCACCCAGGAGGCGGCTGCTGGTGCCCCATGTGAGGCCAAAAGTCAGTTAAAGTTTCGTAACTGTACGACGTGACTTCCATCAAGTCAAGTCAAATTTTTATTTGCAAAGCCCCAAATCACAAATCATCTCAAGGAGCTTTGCAATCTGTACAACATTCAGCACACTCCATACTCAATTTGGATAAATAAAAAACTTCCCAAAACAACTTTTTTATGTGGAAAAATGGAAGAAAGCTCAGGAAGAGAGGAGGGATACGTCTCAGGAAATATCACATTATATACAAATGTTGATGAACCAGAATCAGAGAGCTGTTTGCTTCCTCATATTTTTGTACATATGCACATTACTCTGCACTTTTTTTACATATTTCATGTACAAACAGGCAGATAGGGAGGAACCTGTCGCTGTAGCTAATAGTGCTGTGTGCTGCGTCCCCCCTGTCCGGCAGCTGTAGTGGATCCATTAGCTGACTCTGTCGGACTGGGAGCTCCCAGTGAACAGCAGGTCCAGACCGGGACTGAATGCAGCATCTTAAGTACTGAGGTGATTTTATTGCGGGTTTTGTCTCCTGTCACCCCGGGGCTAGGTCAGCTAATGTTAGCTGCACAAGCTAACTAGTTAACGGCATCTAACATTACTGTTAGCCACAGTTATAAGAAGTCCACCTGGAAACTCCATGAATCACCTCGGTACCGCTGCCGTCAAACTGTCCTCTGTTTGTCTCGGAGGTTGTGTTCACTGGGAGGCTGCTGAGCCCCGTTCGGTTGCACGCTAATGGCAGCTACATTAGCAGTTGGGTAACAGCAGGTAAACATGCATCAGATTTTTGTTTTACAGGAAGACAAAATGATTGAATTTTAAAGAAGAAATTGATAAATAGAGGAACAATATAACTGAGGATGTGATCTAAAAGAGTTAAAGTTATATTTTTTCATTTCACCTGGACTTTGAGAACTGAAAGCTGTTGGTGTGAATTGTCTACAAACAGTGGAAGTTGTGGACAATAAAGAGCTGTCAGTGTGAGATCAGATTAACCGGTGAAAACTGGTTTAGAATTAGAGGGTGTTTTTCTCTGTTTTATATCACAGTAAACTGAATATCTTTGGAGTTTCTACTGTTGTTTCAACAAAAACAGATATTTTAACACATCACTTTGATCCATTTTGATTGGCAGATTAATTGATGATGAAAAGGTTGGTCACATAAATTTACAGCTCAATCTGAAGCAAGTTTAAAGTCTCTGCAGGTCGGAAGTGAAACGAAAGGAAACCTGGAGGGAAGTAAAAGCACATTTAAAATCTATTAAACAGCAGTCGGCTGCGGAGGAGAGTCAGCAGTGAGGAAAAGTGTCTGTGATTTGTTCTTAATGGTGTAAAAAACGCAGGAAGCTCCTTTAAGATTTGTGTAGAAAAACATCAGGAGTGAAATCTGGATCCTGGTTTCAATATTTACCCACAGAGAGACATTTGTATGCACACACACACACACACACACACACACACACACACCTGCCCTGGTTAGTATGAAGAGATTATTTTGGCGGCTGGCGGCAGCGAGGCTAACTGAGGCAGATTCTTTGAGGCAGCGAGCGGTGGTGGCGGGCGGCGAGCGTCAGATGGGCTCTGACACTCGAAAGCAGCTGCCAAATTGAAACCATTTATCAAAATCTGACATCGGAGATCCAGTCACCAAAAAAGCAGTTTATTTGTAAATTGATACTAATAGTGAGCATACATTGTCTGGCCCCTTTGATGGCCTGATTTGCAGCCAGAGTGGAGCGTCAAACGCCCTCCACCCTCCTCGCCGCCTCTTAAATATTTATTTATTCAAAAGAAAACTCAATAAGACCACAGGTTTTTTCCTCTCAGACGTTTTGGACAAGAGAGAAAATCACAGCTAGAGGAAAAAGCGACGCGCCGAGCGGTTGGCTCACCGCCGGCAAGGCGCGGCGGTGGGGATTGTGTGACCGAGCAGCGACGGGTTAACTCGCCTTGTCACTTCTCTTTTGTTTTCACCTGCTGGCACTCTGCGGAGGACAGGAGGAGGGATGGAGAGAGATGTTTGGACGGCGAGGTTTTTGTTTTTTGGACAGGCGGCGCGACACAGAACAGATTGATTCGTTGTAGGCCGTCAGGTGGAGGATTATGGGTGAAGTGTGGAGGCAGAGTGTGTCACTGAAACAGAAAGAGTGAATATGGAAACCAGGAGGAAGAACACAAAGCTTATTTTATCTGAAAGACTGCTCTGGAATTACCTCAAACATAGGGTTAGCCTAGCTTAGCACAAAGACTGGAAGCAGAGGGAAACTGCTAGCCTAGCCCCATCAATACAGCCTCATACATGTTGTCTTGTTAGTTACGACTTAGTCACCAAACTGTCAGCTACATCATGACACAGAAGCTAACTCAAAGCTAACTGGTCCTTGACGTCAGGATTTACAGCTTTATCTCAAACTAGTTTAGCCTAGCTTAGCTCAAAGACTAGAAGCAGATGGAACTGCAAACCACACGCTTTAACAGACTTCTACTAATCAACTCATGTTTGTTAGCTAGAGAGCTAACATTAGCCCATCTCTCCAGGGTCAGATGATTCAGATGGATATCAGTTTCAGCTAGCTGTGTTCAGGATGGATAGATGATGTGATTAGCCTAGCTTAGCAGAAAGAGCATCGGCAGGGAGAACCTTCGAGCCTCCACATACAGCTAGCCGAAGGTATTTAAAGGTATTTTACGTATCTATAAACATTATGGTAGCTTTGTGTAGCTAACCATCAGACATTTTATTTTAGTGTCCAAATTCTAAATGTAAAAATGAATATACACAATAAAGTGTCCTGACTTATGACTGCTCACTATAAAATGAACTGTTGAGTGTCTGTTATGGAGGAAACAGCGCAGGAGGTGTTTAGCCTAGCCTAGCACAAAGACTGGAAGCGGGTGGAAACTGCTAGCGTAGCTCCATCAGAGGAGAGAATTCAGTCTGATTTACATGTTGTATGTTGCGGTATGGTTGTGTTTCCTCTGAGCAACCTGTGAATGAGACAGAAGTGGAGGTGTTCACAGTGACACGGAGTCCTGCAGGTCGTCTCCTCTCTCGACCGACGCTGAGGTGTCCGCTTGCAGACGAGCCAGACTGGAAATGAAATTAGAGGGCTGAACCTGATCCAAGAGAAACCTCAGAGGTCATCAGTGACCAGTTGGCCTCACAGCCTGTCAAACTGCCTGCTAACTGCCTGTCTGTCCGAGCTGCTGACAGACAGACAGAAAACAATACTACCTTAAATATCTCAGAGTAAGGGTTAGTAACACCAACTGGCTTCATTTTCTAATCTTTATCTGCACTGTAAAGAAAATAATAGTAAAAAGTACTTAATCAGGAATGTTTCTGTAACTAAAACTAAGTTAGTGTCAGTTAAATGTTCCAATAAAATCTGCTTCATCACAAATTGTTTTCAGTAACAAAGTTTGTGTTATTTAGAATCTGTAATTTGTGATTCAACATCTTTTAGGGGTAAAATAACTTATTACAGGAAATTTAAATACGGAGACTGTTTACTTATTGTAAAATAAGGGACGTCCTGTGGTGAAAAACAAACCAACCTATTAAACTGATGAGTTAACTCAACTCAAACTGGAAACTGACTGCCTGAAACTATTTAAGTTTATTAACTTAAACAATTCAAGTGTGAATAAAATGTTTATTCGGTTTGAAAACAAGTAACTCAAGTGTTTATTGTTAAAGTAATTTGGATAAATTAAATTGAAGTATTATATTAAAACTAGTCAGTTAATCACTCAATGCAGCATTTTCTCCAAACTTAATTTAAAAATGTGTGAACAGAATTTATCTGAATAAAGTCACTTAAATGCATCTTCATACAAATGTTTCCAATTATATTGAATTTACTCAGTTTTCTTCCATTAAAGCAAATTATTACATAAAAACAATTTACATTTTTATAATGTTATAAAGTAGTCACAATAGTTAAAAAAACTGGACTCATTTAAATCTGAGTTATTATTTTTGAGTTGGTTTAATTCAACCTGCGTCTGAGAATCACTGATAAAAATAAAACCTTTTTTTCTCTCCGTCCTGGTGATTTGTGAACCATAAGGTGGAGATTAAATGTGTTTGGCGTGTTGCGTGTGCACCTTTAGCTCTGATCATTGACCCCCATCCCGACTCGGGGGGTGGAGGCGTCCGCCGTCCGTTCAGGGATTATTAATTCCAACCCACTTCATGAATGAGGAGATTTCCTGCTCTCATTGAGAATAATGAGCAATATTCAATTCATGAGCTGAATTTCAATCCATTTCCTCTGAATGGAATTAACCCCACACCATGTCCCACATCATTAGAATACCTCTCCGCCTGATAATCGCTAATCTGGAGATCCGGCGCGATGCGGCTGTGCTGCTCCTGCACAGCGCGCAGGTCCATCCATATTTTATAGAGATCAGCGGGGCGGCGGCTGTATCTGTAGCTCTGCTCGGGGTGATTTATCATTGTTAAGGCCGCTGTCTGATGGCTTCTCCTCCAGGGTCACACTGATCCCTGTTCGCCCAGCACCTCCTCAACCGCGGAGCCGGCCCCCCGTAATTAAGCCCCTAGAAACCAATGGAAGAAAATAGAAAAAACTAGAGAGGGAAGAGGGAAGAAAGGAGGAATGTGTCAGAGGATGGACGGGAGAAGGGCAAGGTCAGGAGCCTGTGAGAGGAAGAAGAACCTGATTTAACCTGCAAAAATATTCATTATTAACATTATTCATTATTAACGTTAAACATTTTATCCATCACAGCGATGGTAAATTATTCTACTATTCTATTCTACTTCTCTCTAAGTAATATTGTTGTTTAGTTCATCTTTCTGTTGTTAGTATTTCACTTCCCAACAACCTCACGACTGCAGCCACCAACCAAACAACACAATATTTATAATAATAATGATCATTTCATTTATTAACAGTTATACTTTCTGTAGATTTTATCTTCACACAGAAAGGAGCAAAGTGAGGATGTATTAAAGGACAGGAGGAGGTCAGGAAGGAAAGAAAGAGGGAGGAAGAGGACACAATTAAATAAATAAAAAACATAAATTGTCCCTTTTATAAATATTATTTCAAAAATAATACAAAATACATATTTTAAAATACGTTTTATATTTGTATTTGTACGTTTTTCCTGAAGAGTCAGAATTGAAGTGATTTAATCTGTAAAATATTCACACACATTGTGTAATGTGAATATTCACTCACTGGATGAATGAGGCTGAATATGAAGCAGGAAGTG